GTTATGTGCTTCTGTTTCAAGTTCTCTTTCCATTTTACTTTTATGTAGAACTAAATCAAGAACTAAACAACTTGTACACCATTTTTTCTCCTGTAGGGCTTCTCTCAAACCGAAAAAGAAGTGACTCTGGCCACATCATAACTGGAGTGGATGGATATAAGGATGTAAGGTCTAGTTGTATGGTATCTGTCTGACTTAGACCAAACATAAAAGTTACATTAACAGAGGCCTTTATTGATGGCTGCTTTGAAGAATGGTGTAAAGCTGTAGACTGACAGTGAATTGATTTGAAGATGGCCAAATGGAAAAACAAAAATTAAAATAAATATAAAGCTGAAAAGAAAGGCTACATTTTTGTGTCTTACAGGATTGCAATGGTCTATGACTATTTTGTGACACTACGTACAGAAAGCAATATATCTTATGTCACAAAAGTGGGATGGGAAATTTTTGAATGGGGAAGTTTCCTGTGTGGAGATATTCAACACCATACAATTTACTGTCAGCAGGAGTCAACTGTTCTGGAGCAGATTCTTCTAATCTGAAATAGGAAGTGTGGGTTTGCCTGGGGTTTCTCAGTCAATGTACAAAGGAAAGCATTTGACCATTACAGCTTCTAATCAGCATAAGGTGGAGCAGTATGGATTGAGGGTTACGGTTGTTATGTAGATTTCTAGTCAACAGATAAACAAACCATATTTGCTCCATTAGGAAGATGATTTTTTTTGCAATGGAGAAGATGCTTAGGAGGCGTGGCAGAAATTTACAGAAACTCACTTGGTTTTTGGGAGTGCAGGGTGGTCATATAATCCCCTGAGTTTCTTAGGGTTGGTCTTGCCTTCGCAGTTGTCAGAAAATCGTAGCATCAAGTTCATTTGCCAAGTTAGGGGATGCAAGCTGAATTCAGAAATGGCCAGCCATGAATGCCAACTAAACTACTTATATCACAAATCATTCTACTCAGAGAACTGCCCACTAACGAAATAATTTTGTGTCATGAACCTTATATATAGGAGTTCCATCCTCTTCTCCATTAAGTGCTATGATACAATTATTTTCTGAATCTGAATTAACTGGTTTAACTAACTGGGATTACACTATAGTATCAGGCTGTGCATTTCTGTACACTTAAGAATTCAAACACATACACATTTAGGGTAGTGGTAGAACATTGTATAACTAAAGGACAATTTTACAAAAATTATTTCAACATGAAAGAGCTCTTAGTAATATGAAAATATAAATTAATGTAGGAAGATAGCTTCTTGTAAACAGCAACTTAAAAAATTGAATAATTCCACCTAAAGACTTAAATTTATTTTAAAAATCTTAACATGTCTCTCAGATGTATCTCAGAGCTCACATATTTTTATGATTTTCAAGTGCAGCAACTAGTAAGACAGCATATATGGCAGATACAGTATAATCCAACAAACAGCAATGAGATGGATGACCATATAATCTATTCTGTGTGCTGTTCATTGCTGAAGGAATAGTGCAAAGGATCTAAATCATTAGGTCAGGTAGGTTTCAACCCTGGATGGTACATCTGACAATGAAACATTCATTCAGTACTACAATAGAATGTTGGTCTATGTGCTTGCATCTGATAGGGAATCTTGAACCAACTTGTTTTCTTTCGCAGTGATAGTTTTATAACTGCATGATTTGCTGAGCCACTTCAAAGAACATTAAAATCTATCATAAAGTGTGATGCTGGTGTCACTTCTAAGCCAGACCAGGTGGAGATAGCAAGTACACTTCTCTCAGGAACCTCAGCAAACTAGATTTTGTTTTTTGAAATCCAGCATTTTGCTTAATCAATTTTCCTGGTACTAGCTCAAAAATTACCAAATTTATTAACTTCAAATTCATAATTTGCTGTTTTAACAAACAGGTTTGTTTGCTCTATAAATTTCTACATTATCTTACCTGGTATACTGCTGTTGTCCCTTCAGTTCAAAATACACCATCTTTTCACATATTATCAAGTTAGCGTAAATGTCTACCTTTGTAACTCATTAGAGCTGTTAGACATTCTTTATTAAAAACCACCTGAAGAAAGCCCATCAGTGATACCAGCCACTTGTTTCAAATGCACGCTGGTAAAATTAATTTCTACTCAAATATTTTAAGTTAAGGCACTGGGGCAACATATCAAGCAATTAAATAGGAAGATATTTTGTCCAGTATCTAACTATAACTTAAATTCTAATCCCTGCTAATGAGATTTTCAAGCTGGCAGATATAATTTAATAGGAAGATGAAAGAATGTCTCTTTACATAATACCATGGGACTTACCAAAGTGCCTTCTACATTTACGATTGCACAGGCTGTATACCTTGATAATGGTGGTTTGGTTAAAATTGAATCCAGGATAGTGCGACCGTAGAACATAACTGCCCTGAAAGGTAATGGGGTCATCTGATGTGGTTAAAAAGAAGATAAATATAAATGTGAAGAGTTATAATGGCAACCGAATTGTCAAATGTAGCTCAGTGGACTGAATGGTCTATTCCTATTCCTGTCTGCTCTGTTCTTATTTCATTCTCCACTCGGGGAATAGAAGGGAAATTGGATAATGTGTTATTAAATATAGAATTCATCTCACTTTTCATCAGGATTCATGTAACTAATTTGCTGTTATGATATTCATTAGTTATTGAGTGGTGCTTAGTACCTAAGATAACTTCCGTGTGTACATTTTGATATCTTTTTATCAAAGATATTTTTTATGCAAGTTGACAAATAACCAATTGAGTACTACAACTTTGTAGTAGTAGTACTCAGTACGACTCCATTTCTCCATGGAATTCTAATCTTTACCCCGATCAGAAGAGATTTAATCAAATCCCCCTGTTAAAGCAAACAATTTTCTTACTATTTATCTGGATTAGACTTTCTCCTGTTGCAATAAAATTTGCTAATTTCTCATATGAGAATTTTGAATATTTTGGTATGGGTCTGACTTGTTTCTTTATTTTGACACAGCGTTGATTCTATTTCCAATAGTTGTTGTTAAGCATCCTATGTATATATATTAATAACATTTCAAAATATAGTTATTTGCTTGGATCTACAACTGCATTTAAGTTAATTCTTCCTGTGATAAGACTAAACGAGAAACAGTATTTGAAGTGACTGTTGTCACTGCTGTTTAGTAACTTCCTTTGTGGCCTAGGCTTACCACCCACGCAGCAAAGCTGCTGTGAACTGACAGGCGCTGACCCTGCTTTAGTCTCCAACAAAGGTTTGATGCTGTTGCCTCTTAAATTACTTGCCACTTATCTCAGCACTGCAACCGAGGTGGTCCACAGGCACAGAACAATGGGAAATCTACCATTATGATTGGTTCATCCAACTTCCTAGCTACGGGTCAATTCTTATCACAGAACAAGACGGGAAAAGTTAAAAATATGAAGTTACAGCACACTTTGAATTGAATTCATTTGCCGATCGAGTTTCTAGAAGGAAAATGCGCATATTTAAAAAGAGCTGAACCAGAATAAAAATACGCCTCTAAGTAAATAACTGGGGAAATGTTGCTTGCCTCTCTCTGCCCTTAAAAATATAACGTAACAACCCCAAGCAGATAAAAGTTCGCTTATGTTACCTAAGAAATTTGTAACTTCTGTGCTAAATATTATTATTTTTTGGCAGCTTTAAGTAAAGTTCAGTATTGCTGGTGTTGATGTGCAGGATTTTTTTTACTACATCATCAGAATTTTCCTTCTTCTCCACATCAAATAATGCTGCAGTAGGGTCAGGCAAAGGGAAAGGAAGCAGACTCTCATCAAGAATTCCATATATTAACATCACTGGGAAGCTGCCTGACTCAACGGGGGCCATCCTGATTGTAGTGATACTGTCCATTTTGATGTGAATCCAGTATTTGATATGTATTGGCGCAAACAAAACTCATATTTCATGACACGAGTGCATTGAAGGCAAATAATGCAAGACCTATCCAAAAGATTCTCCCATACACTGATCTATATTTACATACTTTGTATGTATGCCACTGCATTACCTGGAAAATTTTAAAATTTACCATTTAATTTCTTTAATGCTTGAGAAAAGTGAATTGTTACCTCTATTTCCTAACATTAAAAATGAGCAGCAGATGGAGCAGAATCCAGTACGTATTGAAGTATATGTTTTCAATACGCCTGCAAACATAGGAAAAAGTC